TTCAAAACATAAATTCTCAAATCCAAACACAGATCCAGCCAATCAGAATCTCAAGGAAGGGCTAAGTCATTTGGACTTTTAAGGTTCCCCTTTTGTGGTGTTGGTACACAATGCTGAGCACCATGGGTTTATTATCTTGATTCCAAAGCATTGTTTGGGCCCCAGACCTTTTTGTCAAATAAACCTGTGATCCACATCTCTGTGTAAAATAAAAACTCAAGGAGGGCAGGACATTTTGACAGTTTGGTTTACTGATGTATTATTCCCAGTTCCTAGAATGGTGCCCAGTACTAGTAAATGCTCAAATATTTGTCAAATGACTCCACAAAAACGTATGTTTTTACTTTCCATGTTATTGGGGAGTCACAGATTCCCCTGCAAATCATTAGTAAGCTTAGTAAGCTTAACCTTGTGCGTTTCCCCACTGTGCCACTTCATATTCTAGTAAAGTGTAAGTGTTTGCTAAGAATACCCACAACCAACCTTAAATTAGGAGTCCCCTACCTCTCCACTCAAGGGGAGTCCAAGGGCTGGACAAGACCAGGCGTTTTGTGATTCTTCCCAATGCAACAACATCCCCCTCTTGCCAGGATTCCAGGTGTCCCCACAGCAGCTGAGAAAGGAAATAACTTGGAATTTAGCATACGTCAGGTTTTAGATGTGGAAAAGCCCCAAGAGAAGAAGTAGTACCTGTGGGCACAGAGGGCAATATGGAGAGAATAGATATTATTCTAATCCAGGAAAATGAAAAATAATTTGAACCTTCAAAGTAGCCAAGGTTGCCAGTTTCCAGGATGCTCCCTCTGCATCTTCCTGGCTGCTGTTTCATTTGGTCTAGTTCCTGTGTCCCAGACTGGAGAGCTTCAAGGCAGAGATCATCTCTCTCTCCTATCCAACTTTTGAAACCTCAGTACCAAAAACCATGAACCATGCCTTGTGTGGAGTGTGTACCATACACAGTTGTTGAATAAATGGATAAAGTATGATATGAAATTGTGTAATATGTGACCTTTGATCCAAAGCCAATTTAGATTTGGTGGCCAGAACAGGGGTATTTATATTAGGTTGGTGCAAGAGTAATTGCAGGTTTTGCCATTACTTTCAATGGAAAGAGCTTGTAGTTATGTCATTGTGAAGTAGATTTTTCCTGAATAGATCTAAGATCCTACTGTTCTGACTTATCTCACTTTAGCTATGAATTTGGCAATACATTCTGATGGGAGAAATACTGCTATAAAATACCTAACTTTCAAGCTTACCGTGTATGTCAGCATAGTGATGTGAGTTGGGTTTTTTGGGTGTGTTTGGTTTTTGTTTGTTTGTTTTTGAGACAAACTCTCACTCTCTCGCCCAGGCTGGAATGCAGTGGTACCGTCTAGGCTCACTGCAACCTCCGCCTCCTGGGTTTAAGTGATTCTCATGCCTCAACCTCC